TTAGGAACACTTCCATCTATAGTCCCTTTAAAATACACTGTAGAGACCATTTGTGGGAAGTAAATTCCTTCAACTTTTGCTTATCTGGAAATTATTTAATCCCTTAGTCAAATTTAAATGATAATATCACCAGAGTATTCTTGGTTAAAGGCCCTTCTTTTTCATTGCATTAAATATATCATGCCTCTCCCTTCTGGCCTATAAGGTTTCCATTGATAAGTCTGAAGATAGCCTGCTGGGTTTTCCTTTATATGTGATCTTTTTTTTCCTCTCTGACTGCTTTTAATATTCTGTCCTTGTCTTAGATATTTCCCATTTTAATTATTATAAGTCTTGGTGTTGTCTTCCTTGGGTTCCTTGTGTGTTGGGAGATCTGTGCACTTCCATAGCCTGAGAAACTATTTCCTTCCCCAGAGTGGGTATGTTTTCAGCAATAATTTCCTCAAAGGGACTTCTATCCCTTTTTCTCTCTCTTCCTCTACTGGTACCCCTAGAATGCAAATATTGTTCTGTTTGGATTGGTTGCACATTTCTCTCATTATTATCTCATTCCTAGAGATCCTTTTTTCTCTCTATGCCTCAGCTTCTTTGTATTCCTGTTCTCTAATTTCTATTTCATTTATGGTCTCCTCTACCTCAACTAATCTGGTTTTAAATCCCTCTGATGTATGTTTCATTTTGGATACTGTATTTTCAAAGTTTCTATCTCTTTCTTGAAGTCATCCCTGAGATAGTGAATATTTTTCTGTAGCTTTGTGATCATGTTTATGATTTTTATTTTGAAATCTTTATCAATAAGATCGGTCAATTCAGTTTCACTTGGCCCTCTTTCTGGTGCTTGAAGGACTGTGGTTTGTACAAGATTTTTTTTGCCATTTCACATTTGTAATGATTACTATGGAATAATAGCTTTTTGTAGGCAGCACCCTCTAGTGCCCAGCTGCTCTACTCTCTGGAGCTGCGTAGACCTGGAGCAATGGTGGGGTTTACAGGTGCCAGGCACCAGTGCCTGCTGGGAGGAAAGAGCTCCTTCCTGCTTCCTGGCTGCAGTGCCTGCCTCCACTGCTAGGGCCAGTGGGCCAAGAACACAGGGAGAAGCGTCTGCATTATGCCCCTGTAGTTCCAGTAGGTGGGGCCACCCTCTGGCTGGCCTGGTACAATAGCGGGGGCAGCAGGTGAGTGAACCGGTGCTGGCTGGGAGGAGGGAGCTGCAGGTGCTTATCACAGTGGAGGGCATTGTCAGCCAGGGGGATGGAGGCCTGAAGTTCCTGCAAGTTCCCAACCTACTGGGCTGAGTGTGTCAGGACAATTTTTTCCACCTGTCCTTTCTCCTGAGCAGAAGGCTTTGTGCAATCCTTGCACCTTCAGCCTCCCTCTCGCTTTTGGGAAGTCCCCTAAAGTGCCTGCTTTTCTTTTTCCTGGAGCAGCCAGTTGTAGGTACCTGTTCTCCACATGCAGCTGGAATCTCAGTCTCTCCAAGTATTCCATCTGTCTTTGCTTTCCAACTCCACTAATCTCAAGAGCACAATGTAATGTGGGTTCATGGTCCTGGAGAAGATCTCCAGGGGTGGGTGTTCAGTAGTCCTGGGCTTCTACTGCCTCCCCATTCTGTTTCTCTTCCTCCTACATGTGAACTGGGATGGTGGGGTGGGCTTGGGTCCCGTGGGATTGCAGTTTTGCTACCTTACCCTTTTTCTGTAAGATCTTCTCTTTTCCCCAGATTTAGGCCATCTGTTGCAGTCTTCTTTCAGGTCATTCTTTCAGGATTAGTTGAATTTGCTGTATTTTCATGTTATATGTGGTTTTGGGGGAAGGTTTCTGTGTCACTTCTCGTGCTGCCATCTTTTTCCACTTCCTTGATTTAGAATTCTAAATCTAAATCTAAGGAATTCTAAATCTAAGGAAAATATCATTTTCCTTAGAACCCAGAAGGTGCTGTCTCATTTTCTTCTAGGTTCTGGATACTTGATTTTGCTGATGAAAAACCTGATGCTACTCCAAGAGTGTTTCTCAGAAGAAGGATGAGGAGGAAGAAACAGAAGGAAAAAAATGGACAGTCATGTTAGTAAATCCCACTCCACTACCTAATGCCCCTATTAGCTTTTTAGTAGCTCACTCTGAGGTATAAGTAGACTTTAAAGAAATACAAGACAGTCAAAGAAGCCCTACAATGTGAAAGTGTCAAAATTAACCAATCCCACCATCCATTGTATCTTCCTCTTTCTTAACAGAACCCCAGTTTGTTCAGAAGCCCATCTTCCATGCATATCAGGAACACTTAATCCTCCTTCAGCTCCAGAAGAAAGTCTGATTAAAGTAACCACTCCCTCTCCTGCCTGTGAATGGGTCAGGAAAGTGCTATTGATCCAGTTCTAGCCACTGAAGTGCAAGCAAGGGAGTTTTCTTAGAATGTTCTTTCTTGCTTTAAAAAGAAAACCAAGGGCAGTAACATCTCTTTCCCACCAGACATGATTTGAACACTCCCTACAATTCCGAGAGGAACCAGTCCTAGGGTGATGACAATATTGTGGGTAGCAGAGCAGGGAGACAAAGAGCATGGCATCTTGAGACATTGTAAAAGTTGGATTGATGGGTCCTACCCTCTTCTGTGGCTTTCCTATAAGTTGGATCTTTAACTATCTGTATCCAAAAGTAACATAAGTACATAAACCAAATGAAAAATAATCCTTGAGGTGACAATAGAATTATAGAAAGAAAAAGAAAGAAAAGTGTTTAGAGAAAATTGAGAAGATATTACTTCCTTAAGAGAAGAAAAAGATACTATGAAAAAGAAATAACTAGAGTACAAGACTGAATTGTTAGAAATTAAAAGTGTGATATTGAATTAACAAAAGTGTGGGAATATAAAATCAAGGAACTATCCCAGAAAATAGAACTCCCCAAAACTGGAATTATGACAGTATATAAGACAGCACTATTTCAGGTAAAGCTGCTGTAACAAAGAGATCCAATATTGTGGCCCAAAGAACAAAGTAGATTATTTCTCTTTAATGGAACATATCCAAGTTAAGTGGTGGTGGTTGGTGAAGCAGTTCTGCACCTCACAACATTCAGGGATCCCAGTCCCTTCCTAGTCATTTTTCATGCAACCCACTGGCATGGGTGAGTCTTCTGTCTTGAGTTCAAACTGGCAGGAAGGAAAAGACAGCATATAAGAAGCATACCTTGCTCACCTTCTTATGCCTAAGACTATAAGTCCTAACAATCATAACTGCAAGGAAGGCTGGGAAATGCAGTTCAGCTATGTTTCCATGAAAGAAAGGATAATTGGATTTTTGTGGACAATGAATAGCCCTCACCAAATATACAGTAGGTCAATCCAAGAGGCCCAAACCAACCATACCAGAAAAAGAGAACTGAAGAAATGGACGGAAATTATTTATCAGAGAAATAACAGAAGATACTTTTAAATAGCTGAAAAACATGCATCTTCAGGCTGAAAAGTCCATCTAGTGCCTGCCCAATGAAAGAAGACCCATGGCAAGGCACATGGCAACCCCAAAGATGTCATTTATGATTTACCTCTGTCCCAGGGAATAGGAGGTAGCTGCGTCCAAAATAATAGGTGACATCAGAAATGAAAAAGGGGACATTACAACTGATAACACAGAAATACAAAGATCAGGAGAGACTGCTATGAACAATTATACATCAACAAATTGGACAACCTAGAAGAAATGGATACATTCCTAGAAACATACAACTTTCAAAGTCTGAATCAGGGAGAAATAAAAAATCTGAACAGACTAATTACTAGTAAGGAGATTGAATCAGTAATCAAAAACCTCCCAACAAACAAAAGTCCAGGACCATAATCCTTTACTGATGAATTCTATCAAACATTAAAGAATAACAAGTACCAACCCTTCTCAAACTGTTCCAAAAAATAGAACAATTCAAACTCATTTTAGGCCAGAATTACTCTGATACTAAAATAAGACAAGCACACCACAAAAAAAGAAAATTACCAATATCCCTGATTGACATAGATGAAAAAATTCTCAACAAATATTAGCAAATTGAATTCAACAATACATTAAAAGGATCATATACTATCACAGAGTGGGATTTATTCTGGGGGATAAAATATTTGCAAATCATGTAGCTGGTAAGAGTTAATACCCAAAATATATAAAGAACTCATGCAACTCAATAGCAAAAAAAATATCCAATTAAAAATGGCAGAGAATCTGAATAGACATTTTTCCAAAGAGAACATATAGATGGCCAATAAGTACAAGAAAAAGTGCTCAACACCACTAATCACCAGGAAAATGCAAATCAAAACCACAATGAGTTATTACCTCACACCTATTAGAATGGCTGTCATCAAAAACACAAGAAATAACAAGTGTTAGTGATGATTTAGAGATAAGGGAATCCTTGTGCACCATTGGTGGAAATATATTGATGCAGCCAGTGTGGAAAACAGTATTAAGGTTCCTCAAAAACTTAAAAATAAAACTACCATATGATTCAGCAATTCTACTTATGGGTATATATCTGAAAGAAATGAAGACAGTAATTCTAAATGATATCTGCACTCCCATGTTCATTACAGCATTAATTATAATAGCCAAGACATGGAGGCAACCTAAGTGTGGTCCATCAGTGAATAAATGGATGAAGAAAATATGGTGTATATAACACAGTGGAATGTCATTCAGCCATATAAAAGAAAGAAATCCTAACATTTGCAACAACATGGATGATTTTGAGGGCATTATGCTAAGTGAATAAGTCAGGCAGAGAAAGGCAAGTATTGTATGATCTTATTTTATGTGGAATCTAAAAACAAAACAAAACAAAAACCTGACCTCATTGATAGAGTGAACAAATTGATGTTTGCCAGAGGTGGGGGTAGGGGTGGGCAAAGTAGATGAAGATGGTCAAAAGGTACAAACTTCTGGTTATAAAAAAAATGAGTCCTAGAGCTATAATGTGAAGTAACTATAGGTAATAATATTGTATTGCAGTGCCTGCTTTGGCAGTATGTATACTAAAACTGGAATGATATAGAGAAGCTTAGCATGGCCCCTGTGTAAGGATTACATACAAATTCATGAAGCATTCCATATTTTTAAAATAATAATAATAATAATGTATTGTATATTTGAAAGTTGCTAAGAGAGTAGATCTCAATTCTCATCACAAGGAAAAAAATTTTGTATTTATGTATGATCACAGTGTAAGATAAATTCTAGCTGAAATAAGCAGGTGAAGAGAGGCAACAAAGGGCCAGGTAGTTTATTTGAGCGCAATTCCTGGGTGATGTTCTCTGGTTTGGGTATTACAGGCTGGGGAAGTCACACCCCGTCAGGGAGGGGGGGGCTTATAAGGGATTAGGAGGAGGAGGAGTGGGTAAGCTACCCTAGGGGGTGTGGAGAGGTATGATTGGCTAAAGGTGACATAATAGACAACTAGAAACTTTTTTCCTTCCAAGAGGGAGGAGGCTGACATCTGGATCTTAGTTGGCACATCAGGAGGATGGAATTCAGGAAGAGCTGTCCCCTTTCCATATAAGGCACGGACTCTGTTCTCCTTTTATGGAATCTCTCTGTTCTGTTTGCATGTCCTTGTTTTTCCTTCCTCCAGCCTAACATTCCAGCCTTTTGGTCATAATAGGCAATGACTCGATCTGGCTACTTCCAGCTGACAAGGGGCATTATGGGGGGTGGGTTTCGTAGCATGTAGTTACATTGCTCTGACTGAAAATATTTTGCCTTGCTTTCTCCAGAGGCTCTCACTTTATTCTGTCTAAGCTTATGGTCCCTGTCTCATTCTCTCCTCTACAGATAGAGACTCTAGCTGCTGAAAGGGAAAAGGG